TGTATAGACCAGTCCTGATGATTAGTCAGCATTTTATGACAATTCTTTACTGTGGTCTTGTGTTGCAAATGAATTGTGTTCAGTTTTAAGTAAATAGTTACCATGTGTTGACACTGGTGTTGATACAACTGTCATGAAAAATACATGTAAAATATTATTATTATTACATGTATATAAATCAATATCACATGAGCATGTATTATAATTAAATCTACAGATTGGACACTCCTACTTCTTTTAATTTATTATTTATATCTATAGAATAAATGCAGACCTCAAAATACCTACACTGATGTATTGTAAAATTGATACCAGACATCTTTTGTGATCTTTTTCCATATTGTGATGTCATTGTTTTGTCATAATTCAGTAATTGAAATGTAAAGATATGCATAGTTTATTTGATAACCTTTCCCTGATACCAAATATAATATAATTGCAATAATTTTGAGTGTTTTTATTCACCCCTATATGTCCATATGTAATATTTCAAAAGCCAATACTGGAAAATGTCCAAATAGCAAAAATATACAATTTACTTGGTATAAGCTTTCATAAAACATTGTTCAGTATGAAAGGATGGAGGGTCTCCTATATCAGCTCAATTTCTATTTCATTTGACCCAAATTTTCATGACCTTTTGACCATATAATTATAAGAAATCAAAATATGATAACTGTAATGAATAGAGTACATTCATATTTTAAATGGCTACTTGTTGATCTGTAATATTTATGATGTACTTTTTTAAACTAAATCTACTGCCAAATTTTGCTTCAGTTTTCAACTTCACTATTTCAGTACATCAGATGATCCACTGTATGATTATGAAGAGTAACTTAGGGTGCCTTTCATGCATATGGGAACACCTTCAGCCATTACAGTAATTCCTCAGCTCCTGAGAGCGAGGTTATTTGTAGATATGTTGGCGATCACCGCTGTGTCTGCGGAAGTACTATGGGAGATTGCATGATGGGAGTGGAAAGTCTTTTTATCAGTAAAATAATTTTAGAAAAGTGAAAACTAAAGTGACTGTGAAATAAAGGTTGGTTTTAAATATTAAATATCATGACATTTGGATTAATAATGAAAGGAAATTGAACTGGTATGAAAGGGCAGTACGCAAGGTCAGAAACCGGGGTCAAAATACGTCACAATACACCCATCAAGGCGGTTGCAAAGTGTCAACAACTATGGATAAGGTAAAAGACTTTGTTTGCCAGGGAGAAAAAAATCATGCAAATTCTGTGCTTCATAACAGTATTTGCTTCTTCTTTTTTAGCTCCGCTGTCGACTTTGTCGAGCGGAGCTTATCATATGAGTGATTGTCCGTGGTCGTCCGTGTCAATGTTTTACTTTTTTGACTTCTTCTTGAAAACTACAAGCCTGAATGTTTTGATACTTGGTGTATATGTACCTTGGGTAGACCTCTCTTAGGTTTGTTCATTTCATGTTGATATCTTCAATTCTCTAATTTTGGTGAATATTTTTGTCATTTTTGGTAAAAAGTGATATTTTCGACTTCTTGTTAAAAACCGCAAGTGCAATTGCTTTGATATTACATATATAGGTACTACATGTGGACCTCTCTCAGATTTGTTCATTTTGTAATGATATCTTTAATTCTCTAATTTTGGTGAATATTTTTATCATTTTTGGTAAAAAGTGATATTTTCACTTCTTGTTAAAAACCGCAAGTCCAGTTGCTTTGATACTACATATATAGGTACTACATGTGAACCTCTCTCAGATTTGTTCATTTCGTGATGATATCTT